TTTAATTTTTTTACTAAGAGGAATTAACCCTAAAAAAATATTAACTATATATAAAAAAAAATTCATAATGCAGCTACAAATAAAGTTAATTACCTACCTAATTTTATTTCATCAAGCTCTATATATATTTCATTATATACAGTCTCCAATTCCTAAAATTCAGATTTAGAATAAATAATATCACTTCGTAACATATATAACTTTCCTGAAATTTATTTATATTCCTCTCGAAATTCTTTCAGGTAGTGGCAGATAATCAGGCAAATTAACATATTTTGGATCATTGTCAGTTTTGTATAAGCAATAATGACACATCATTGCCTCTTATGATAGCTCAAATAATTAATTGTTTCAAAGCCTTCTTGCATTTCTTTCCTTTTATACTGTTTTGAGCTGTAGATATATAAAACGTGTGCTTTAGATACAAACATTTATTAATTTTAGATTTTTTTCTTGCATTCATTATTAATTTATTATAGTATTTTTAGCATAAAACCTTGTCAACTAAATTTAAATGTTGGCTTGAACTTGAAATATTTATTTGCTTAGATATAATAGATGCATCATGCTGTTCATAATTATAGATAATGTCATCCTGACTTTCCAAATCACAATTATGAGCCTTTCTTTTTTCTTTTTTTATATTAGAAATAGATGTATCTTCATGGTGTGTGAACATTTTGCTTGTATTCCTTCTTTTTAATAATAAAATGACTTTAATAAAAAAAATTAATATAAAACTCTTATTAGCTAAGTTCTGAATTATCTCTTCACTTACCAAATTATTTTAACAGTTTATAGAACAAAAGGTAAACTTTAAAAAAAATTTTCTCGCAACCCTTGTGAATCCATCCATGTGGTTGCAAATTCATTTAAAATTAAATAATCATTTTTTCATATGAAATTTAATATATGACGATCATTTTGAAATATATGTAAGTTATGATTTATATATAGAGGATTTAGAAATAATACTTTAATTGCTTCTAAATTATAAAAAATCTTAATTATAATAATAAGAATGCTATAAATTGATTATATAATTATGTTAATTTGAATCTAGTTTAAATCTATATAATTTACCTTATATTAAAAATATAGATATTTCAAATTTATAGTAGAAATCAATTAAAATAAAATCTAGATATTTAGCTGAACTTACTATCTGATTTTTTGGAATTATTATTTTTCAAGCTAGTTGTGAAAGAATTTTTCAATATTCAAATGGATGATTAGTGATCATTAAATAAGACTTAGTATTCAAAAATTTAAAAATATATTAAAAATTTGATTTTATTATTTTCTAATATCAAAAAAGAATTAGCATATTATAGAAATAATTAATTTTTTAAAAGTTAAAAAAAGTAGCAAATGATTATTTAATAAGTAATATAATGAATTTAGAATTAGCAAAAAATATTATTTCTAATTCAAATTTTTCTAATATTAATTCTTTTAGAGATATATTAATTTTAAAAGATATTATAGATCTTTACATTATCACTTTTTGATAATAATAAATTATATGATAAACAAAAAATTCAAAATATTATAGATATTTCTAATTTAGATTATGATCTAGAAAGATTAATTGATTCTTTTCTTTAATAAGAAAATAATAGGTAAAAATGATAAAAAAAATCAAATTTATTAATAAATAAATAAATAATAAATAATCTTTTATAATAATATGATAAATTATCCTTAAATTAAATTTTATAATTATGATATATTAATAATTATTTAATTATATTTATTTATAACATATATCTATTCCTTAAATTGTAGAGGTTTGCAAGCAAATTTGCTTGTTTATTTACTGTAAATTCCTTTCTGATTTATTTTTATGAAAAATTAAAATTTTTAAAATTTTTTTTTTTATAAATATATATAATATTATAGTAAATTTTATTTTTTAATTATATAATTAATAATTTAAAGTTACTTATAAGCTAAAATTTATAATTTTTAAAAAAATTATAAATTAAAAAATTTTATTATTAACCTTTAATCTCTTTAACCATCTTATTAACATTTACTTTTAGCAATATTAATCATAATAGAATATAAAATTTATCATGAAGAATAACTTTAATTATTACAATTTTTATAATTTACTAAGAAATTTTATGACTTTTATTAATAGTAAAATGATTCAATTAGTTTACAAACATATAAATTTTAAGAAAATTTTTAAAAAATTATTATAATAAATTTTTTAAAAATTAATTTTAAAAATACAATGTATTGTAAAAAAACTGGAATTTTGATCATGTGATTTAAATTAGTCTCACGTGGTCAAAATTTATCCGATTTTGATTTTTTAAAGGAGGGAAAGTTCTATCGGAAAGTCATGCAGGGTCACTTTTTGAACATTGAAAGCAAAAACCTAACAATCCTTCATATACGGTATTTTAATTAAGAAAGATATTTTTTATTATAAGCTTGCATATAGTAAATAAAGATTTAAACTTTGGTTCAATCAAAAAAAAGAAAAAAAATAACGAACGGAACGCAATCTATTTTAAAGGAGCCGTATTGATTCTAAGGTAAAAAATTTAAATAAAAAAAAACCAACCGCTAAAGAAAACAAAAAAAAAGAGAAGCCGGAAAATTTGAGGTATTTAAATTAGATATTTTTCCAACAATCAGGCTGACCATTATTTGAATTAAGAAAGAGATTTTTGAAAGTTAACGTAAAAAGAGTAAAAGGTTAAATGTAGATAAAAAAAAAAAAAAAAATTTATTGATGTGGTCGGGGCGGTCAATAGAAAAGGGAGAAATCTACAAATTTTGAGTAATTTGTTATTAAGCTAGTTTTTATTCACATGACCATGATCAGCAGAGTGAACCAATAAAAAAATTTTTGACTAAATCCCCTTTTCTACTGACCACCTCCCATATTCTTTTTTTTTTGTTAAAGCAAGGCTAAATAAGGAAATGTATTTAAGAACACCATCATTCTTCTTTTAAATGTAAGGAGTTAAATCTGTGCATTGGTGTAACATTCATTAAATTGGGATATAAAAATGTTAATGAAGAACGTGTTGAAACAACGAATTCAGTTGTTTATTAAAATTAATAAAAAGAATATGCCTCCTTGTGACACAAACAATTGTTATTTCGGTCCATTTCGGATGACAAATTCATATTATTACAAGCAAGCAAATAAGATAATCAATATGGATCCTTACGATTTTAAAGTTTTTCAAGCCATTTGAAATTGAAGTCGTTGACATTATTAAGTTTATTATATCTCTATCACGAGTAATTTAATGCTTTTTAATAGACCACTATCACTTGAACCGGTCCTGCGGCAATACCTATTATAAAAACTGAAATAGAACTAATCTCCGACATTTACTGTTATCTAAATATTAAGAGATCAAAGAGATCAAAGAGATCATAATAAACCTTCATTAATCAAATTAATATTTTGATTAAATTGTTTCTACTTCTAACGTATCATCGTGAGGAGGATTAAGCACAAATTTTCCTGTAATATATTTTCTGTAAATATCGGAACCCATATTGGGTTACCTCATAAAAAAAAAAAAATCTTTATTTATAATTCGATTCTTTATGATTCTGATATTTTCATATGGTTGAAATAAATAAAGTTATTCATATAAGAAAAAAAATTGGCAAGAGAAATGGCAGAGTTAAGAATTGTAATATTTCTGAATTACTGTAGTTATAGCATTTTTGTGACACTCATTCAAGTACGTAAGCATAATGCATATAGCTTAATATAAATTGTTTTAATAAATATATATAATATAATGTTATTCTTTCTAATAATAAAAAGCTAAGCTATACTCTCCTGAAAAAAATGACCGGAAACTCAAGAATCTAAATAATAAAAGAAATATTATTCTAAAATTTTTATACTCATTGATAATGATTAAACATTTAAATATAATCGCCATAATGCAGCCTAAACTAATCAGGCAATCTTTAACCACAACACCGCAGTAATAAATATAATATTTTCTATTATATCGAATACAATTACTTAATTGCTAAAAATAACCTTTAGTCTGCAGTTTTATTATAGCCGAAAAATTTCACAAAATATGCAATTTTTTAATTAAATTTTAGAATTTAAAATTTAATAAAAGTCCAATTGTCATGAAAATTTCGAGAAATATACTATTTATTACAATGCATAAGTTTACTTAGAGCATCAAAGTCGATTCTATTAATAAAAAAAATTTTGTTTCTTAGTCGGACAAAGAAGCAGATCATGTCGATCATCATTTGGCAATCATATAGTCACACCCTTTCTTCTATTAAGGAAATCCGATCATGAGCAACTATGTGATTATAAAATACTTTTATGATGTGACTAAAGAGAGGTTTTTTTTTAATAAGTTTATTGGTAACTAGGGCTAATATAAGTGTGCTTATAAAGGGGGTGTGACTATATATATATATATGCGTGTGACTATATAGAGGGATGACTGTAACTATATATGGATATTACATAAAATATTAGCAGAAAAATTTAGTATGCACAAAATAATTTGTGCTATTATTTTGAGAAGATAATTTTAGAGAACTGGAAAAACAATTCGTCGAACATTAAAATGGATCAAGTACAAAAGACGTATATAAAGGCTGAACTTTATACTCAGTTGAATTTACTTACTTGTTCAAATAAAAAAAATAAAATCTTTCTCACAATTAAATAAACCCATATTCAATCGCTCCTCATTTTATTAAATTTAGAAAAAAAATTTTTTTACTTCTTTGTTCTTCATAATTAAAATAAGGGGACAAAAAATTATTTCGCGCCTCTTCTGTACGAAGAGTATGAATTTGAAATTATTGAATTTTTTACGAATTATTTTAGCGCGTTTTCCCCGTTAGATTTTCTATAAAATCAAAATTTGTAAGTTTTTTTTTTAATCTAATTAAATTCTTCTTTGACGCAGACGCTTGTCACGTGATCAAAAAATTGATAGACATTAGATTGATCTTCTTTATAAAGTTTACAGATGAATGCTAATTCAGAATGTTTTGATTGTGAAAACGAACGAAGTAATGCAAGATGGTGTAAAGATTGTGAATACATTGCCTTTAAAGAAAATTTTAGAAATTGGACAAGCGGTAATCTTTATGTTGATAATTTTATTAGATATACTCAATTAAATGCGACTGAGTGTGAAGATTATTTGGAATATATTGATTTCGAACATTTTGACCTTGTGGAAAATATACACAAAGGTGGGGAATTTTGTACAATTTATTCAGCAATATGGATGGAAGGTCCTCGATGGACGTGGGATAAAGAAGCTGATCAATGGGAACGTAATGGACCTATAAAAGTCGTTCTTAAGAGACTTAATAATAATTCCCGAAATTTAAGTGAAAATTATTTAAAACAAGTAAGTTAATAATAAATACATTATTTATATCATATAATAATATATCACTTCAGGTTTAATAACATTTATTTTAATTAATTTGTATGTAGCTTTACAAATATCATCATTGTTTACATGAGAATTTTACGGATTTTTTTGGAATAACTAAAGATTCTCATTCGAATTATATTTTTGTCATGAAATACTATGAGCATTATGTACATAGAGACTTAAATTCATTTCTTGATGAAATTCGAGGAATGCTTGGTTGGAGTGATATTATTGAAATACTTTGGATCATATCTGGAAGAATTGTACATTATCATGAAAAGGGATTAATTCATGGAAATCTTCATGGAGGAAATATATTAGTTGACGGTAAACAAGAATCGTTTGATAATATTGATATCCCAGATATTGAACCATATTCAATTGTTAAGAAAAATTCAAATGAAGTCTATGGAGTTCTTCCTTATATTGCTCCCGAAGTCTTGCAAGGCAATCCGCTAACCGAGGCTGCAGACATTTATAGTTTTGGAATTATCATGTGGACAATTTCTGCAGGAGTACTCCCATGGTGTAATAGATCACATGATTTTGAATTGGCAAGTGAAATTTGTTCCGGTCTTCGTCCTGAAATTATTGATGGAACTTCAAACGTTTACACTAAACTCATGACGCAGTGCTGGAATCCTAATCCTTCAATTCGTCCGACTACATTTGAATTATATGATTTGTTAGGTACTTGGATAGACGCAATTGATGTTCCTGATTCATCTGAATTATCCGAACAATTTAGTCTTATTGAAAGGCTGGAAAAAAACAGATCTCAACAGCAAATTCATCCTGAAGCTATGTATACAAGCAGGTTCTTGTATTTTCCTGAACTATATAATCCTACTGAAAATGTATGTGGGAGAAATTTCTAATTTTTCATAATAATTCTAAGCAATAAGTATCTTAAGTATAAGCTCAAATCATTATGTATTTATTAAGTTTACTTTCTTTCTCATAATAATTCTAAGCAATAAGTATCTTAAGTATAAACTCAACTCATTATGCATTTATTACGTTTATGAAACATTTATGGTTAATTTTAAAAAGATTGAGAGGAATAATGTTGTAACAATTTAACATATTTAACGATCAATTCAAAATAAAAAATTTTTTAAGCATTCTAATTTTATGCACTAATTCGAAACGACTGATTAATTTCAAAAAATATATAAAGTATAACGATGTGTCCGGATTTATATGAAAATCTTGAAAAAAATTTCGTTATAATTTATGGGGAAATAAAATATTATCGTATATCAAATTTTTAATATCGAATATTTTACACAGCCGGGTTTTGTCCTAAATTTCGTATCTGATGTTGAATCTCGAATGAGCTTTATCAGTTTCGAAGTTACCTTGTCATGAAACAATATCGTGGCCAATCACTTATCATAAATGGTCATGTTGACAGTAAAATTAAGCTAGCCAGATAAACGTTCATATAATAAAAAGAGTAACAATTTCCGCCAGTCTTTTTTTTTTTTTTTTTTTTTGGCAATTTTTTGCAATATATATAGATCTTATAATTAAATCGTATCATTCTATGTAATGTGTCACCAGAGTTTATGAATTAAAAAGAATTATATCACGAATTAGGTCGCCTATTTTGATTATTAATTAATAAATTATTCCAATAATTAAAAGTCTACCTTACGAAAAATAATTTAACTAAAAATAAAGAAATTTATAAACTGAAACCGAAACGTTAATATTGATAATAACACGTTAAAAAAGTCCGGCGACGCAATAGGATTAGGAATCTGTGTCGTAGTATAAGATTTTGCTTTTTCAAGCATATTCATAATATCGATACTCGTTAAGATAATATCAAATGTACAAAGAAAATCAGTGCCACCGTAATTTTACGGGTGGACAAATTTCCTTGGACAAGAAATCGTTTTTAGTTGACATGATAATAATTTTGAATTAAAACGAACTTAACAACAGACTTATTATAACTTTAAGACGTGATGAAATCACGTAAATCACATGATTAAAATATCGTGTGCAATAATTTTTTTCTTAAAGGTAAAAAATTCGACTATATTATTATTATTATTATTAATTGTTAGTCCGGAGAGCGTTGTCTATGATGGGTGATACAAAAATGTCGCGATGTCCGCCCGCTCAAATAATTGATTTTGTACAAAAGTCTCGATAAAACAAATACCATGTGTGAAATTTTTTTTTATTTAAGATCGCTCCAGACTTAACAACGGTCCGTTCCCTAGTAATATATTTGAAAAATTGAAGCATACGAATAAAGTCACTTTTAGCAATTTCTCAACAAACGATACTCCTCAAATTTATGATATTAATGTAAGTTGAATATTGAATTTTTATTCCTTTCAAATTTTAGGAATAAATATAAATTATTTCTTTTAACAAATTAATTAGTTCGAGATTTCATATGCGTAAATAAAAGCTTTTGGGAGGGGTAAAAGATTAAGATGTTATTAAAAAAAAATTGAGTTAACTGATGCACCAAATGAATTAATTTTTATCTTGATCTTCTACTAGTCAGCCCAAACCTTCATCCTTCTTAGTTGTAATATGACTCTTTTGTTCAAGTATACGAAAATGATATAATGCGGCTAGTTTTTATGTGTTGGAGCCTTATACTTATTTTCATTTCCCTTACTTTATTTATCTCAAGTAATTAAATCACTAAAACCGTTGCTGCTTGCATAAATTTAAATTTAAGCCTGTTTAACTTACTGAATTCAATATCGAGATGTTCTTGTAATATATAATATTACGTTAAAAAAATAAATTGCAGCGTGAAAATTGTTCAAAATATCGAACGTCTATTTTCGTAAAATATTAATGATAGAGTTATAACAAATTGTTACACATTTACATTTATGGTGGGAATTCTTTTTCTAGATGGAATGGATCCGCTTAATGAAATTAATATCCGATATGTTTAACTTGCAAACATAATTTATTGAAATAAATCAAATAGATGGAAGAACATTTTACTTTTTTGCAAAAGACAAGAAATAATGAGGAATTCTTAAAAGAATTAAAAAAATTGGACATGACTATAAGAAATCATTTCTAATTCATAACCCTCCAAGATCTTCCTTTAATCTCAACAATTATTAAACATAAACCGGCTAATTACTCGCACCAGCCATAGCAGAAAATCCCAAGAGAATTTTTTAGAGAGGAGGTGAAAATAATTAAGATACCGGTAATAAGGTAACATAACCCATCGGATATAGCAATAGCCGAAGCACTTTTTCCGGGTAAGCATCAACCAAATAATTTGAAGAAATGTTAAAAATCATCGCAATGACAATAAATAAGATAATTAAAATCCAATAAATAGCGAAATTTTTATCTAAAGCTAAACCCTCAAACAAATAAGACATTGGTATTATTACAATACTCGCCCAACAACTTTTAATTCTAACTTCGGGAAAGTTTAATTAGGTAACAAATTGATTTTCCTTTTACTATCCAATCTTGAAATTTACCACCTATTATACTACCAATCATATATCCTGACCCAGGTACAAGGTAAAGGACGAGGAAGTCAATCCATAAGCTGCTGATAATAAATCTCCAATTAATAAATTTTGAATGTAAAGAGTTATCGTCATTATAACTTTGTTGAAAACTAATAAAGCAACATTAGGATAAGTTAAAAGTGTTAAAGGTTCGATTGGATTAAATTTATTAAATTTATTGATTTTTATCGTGGTTATTATAGATTCTGTTTTCATTGATACAGTTCTCATTGAGGGTGCTAAAGTTGATGGGAGCTCTAACTGAATGAACCGAATTTGATTCATTGATTGGTGCTGAAGAATGAATGTCAGTTAAAGAAAATGTGATGTTTGGAAGAAATTTAGATAAAGGTTTAGGAAATGTTTCAGGAAGAAAAAAGAATATCAAGATAACGAAACTCCCTCCCGATATTGTTAAAAACCAAAAATTAAATCTCCATCCAAAGTAACTTGTTAATAAATCTCCGACAGATGGTCCAATAAGCCCTCTGCCTCTCTTCCAAAGAAGAAGATACCATACGTTTGATCTTGTTCTAATAAAAAAAAATTTTTTTTTTTTTAAGATTATAAAAAGTTAAATCATATTTACATTGAAATTTACTTACCATGATCAGAGAAAATATCGGAAAATACCACCACCGATACATATGACTACGGCCACACCAAAAGCTTGAAGCGCACGTGCTACGATATACATGTACATGCTTTGACAATCATATTAGCCGATTCCATAAATAGTAAACAGTTGCAACCTTTTAATATCAGAAAAGATTTTAAAAATAGATTAAATAGATTATAATCCAGAATGTGGATTTAATTATTGGATATAATTCAACAATTCTATAATCAACGATGATGGTACCATCAGATCTCAAGAAATCCTTAGGGAAAATGCAAAATATTTGTTCTCTTTAGTGTTACTTTGAAGGATATGTATGTGTATTTTGAAACAGAATTTAAATGAGTAAAACAATGATCGTTGTGCACTTATAATTGATGTATTTTAAAAATTGACAATTAAAAGGTTAAATCAGGTTATACTTTTTTGACTTTGACAAGGCTAAAAAAGAGAGAAAAATAAAAATTTTTTTTCACGTTTCGAAAATTTTTTTAATTACTTTATACTTAATCATATTGTCAACCTTACAAGTTACTAAACTATGTATGTTAAGACTAAATGATAAAATATTTTGCGTTGATCTTATTCTAATAAAGTTTATCCATTTGGATCGGCGACACAATATTAAATTTAATGTTTGTCCTGATTGATTCCTGTTTTATAATTAAGAGTTAATTTTAAAATCGGAATCGAATTAATCATGTAATTATGTAATGCTAAATTGAATCAGTTTCTAATAAAATAGAATCGATGACCAAAAAATTTATATAATATTACTTAGCAAAATCGCGATAGTGAATACATTGTCAACTTCCAAAAGTGCCTCGAAACTGATTATTTTATAAAAGTCATTAATTATGCTTACGCGCTCAATTTTTTAATCTAATGGACCTTGTATCAATCTGGCAAGTGTGCATGTTAGATTTGTTTAACTGTCAAAATTCATCCAGAAAAAGTTGTTTTATAGAAAATATTCCCGACATTATTCGAAGAGTTTTCAATCTAAAAATAGTATTATCCGAATTAAATTAATTTAAACTATAACATGTATTATAGTATTATCTTTTTTAATATAAAGAATATAACGAGTTTTAAAAATTTGGGACAACTTCTGAGATTCATCTCGTGGTCTTAAAACTTATAATCGCGTAATCATTTAGGAGCATTGTTTCGATCGCCGGGCTGCGGTTTGAGGTCATAAGTTAATTAAAACAGTATAATCATATATTAAAAGATCATGCAATTTTAGTTAATTTACCTACTGAACTTTAGACTGTTGGAGTTACATGTTGTTTCATAGATGAGTATTTTAAGTTGCTCTTATAATAGCTTATGTTAATATTCGCGCAGATCATATTAGCGATACTTTACTTAAATTATTAGATCAATGAAAAGTTAATTTAATTACCATAGATGATAGCATTAATATAAAAAGAGCAATTAAGAATATGAATATGCATTTCAATAAAAATTTTTTTTTTAGTAAACTGATGCTAGAATCTTAGAAAAGCAAGCATACATCTGCACCTATTGCATTACAGAAGTTGTTACTTGATGAAATCCAAATTTTTCGATCTTTAAATAAATTTTCACACAAAATAAATGAAGTAACTATTTACTTGTCTTTACATGAATTAATTTCGATTCTTTTATTTGGTGGTATGACCACAAAGAAAGATTTCTAATCCTTCAAAATGGTCAGCGTTTACCTTCCTATACCGGCTATTTCTACTCAAGGGAAATGATTATTTAGCAATGCTGGAAATCTATTGACAGCCAAAAAATATATTTAAATCCTGAATTGTTTGTTTTATAAGGCCACGCACTTAACATTTTCGGTTCACGTCACCCGGCCGGGTCACCATTTAAATTTTAATCAAAAGTTTTATATGTAAAATTTTTATCTCGTGACTTCGAAATAAAATGCTGTTGTATTCAATACTTTCGTTTATGTATTTATATACAATTTGAAATGTAAGCAGAAGGGTTTTTATTAATAAGCAACAATAATAATTATGATGTAAATGTTATTCAATTATCAGTGTTGTCTCAACATTGACGCAAATAAATGCTAATCACTAAACGTTAATTAATTAAAACTACGCAAAAATAAAAATCGGAAAAATAAAAATAAATAAAAATTATTAAAATTAACAAAGTTACAGCATAAAAATTATGAAGTTATGAATATCGCAAGGAAAATATATTAAATTTTAATTAAGACAACTTGGCATCCTAACAATATGGTATCCTTAACAATATGGTCGAAATTGATCTAACCAAGGCGAAAAATATGATTTTTACGGGTGGAGTTATATCCAATGTAACAATACGAATTTTATGCTTTTAACACTTTATTGACTCGTCATTTCTTGGTTTACTTGATTTTTTATATTTCTTTTCTTTGTATCTTCTCTAAACTGATACTAACTGATACTTTACAGTATTCTCAATCCATTCGATTATAATTAATTACTCCTTAAAAACCAACTAATCACATCGTTATAAATTTTTTTATTAATAAACAGTAAACCCCGGGTCCCCGGGTCAATTTTAAAATTTTAATGTTACGTGAACCGAAAATGCTAATGTGCGTGGCTTAAGGTTTATTTTTTTAAAAAAAAAAAATGCATAGTAAATCATATGGTCCGTAACGTGATTTTATTCAATAGCGAATCTCCCATTTGTTAAAATTATGCGGGCTTTGGGAAAAACAACTTACCGATTCCAAAAACACGTGCTCTTACTACATTTTATTGGTTAAAATATTGAAATGGAAAACAGATTATTTTGCGCTACTTTTTAATTGGACCATAAAAATGGAACAGAATTATGCAGTCTGTTGATCATCCTTGGCGAAATCATTTATTTGGTTTGCTGCGGATATAATAATCCTTTATTTAGCTGACAAATATTGTAGTTTTCATCATTTCATACTAAAAAATCCATTGATATAACAAAGTAGTAATATTTGTAAGGTTGTGAGACTGCTTTTTCTGTTCAATAAATCAATAAACTTCTCAATTTGATATAATATAAATAATGATCGACTCAGCCATTATTTTCGTCGAACTTGATGCGTAGGATCTAAAATTATAACAACGTTTTTAGAAAAGTATGTTAATTTGTGATACATTATAAAAACGTCCAGTTTTTTTGTTAAACGGCAAGTTCAGAATTAGTAAAGATTTTCAGGAGTTTCATTTATAGAAGAAAATCAACGAAAATCCCGAATTTTCAAATCATTTTCGTTTTTTTTTCTTCTTCCTCTTTTCCTCGCATTTTTTTTTTTTTTTTTATTTTTTTTATAAGAATTATTATAATCATGGTTAAGTATTGTGAAAAAATCGAAACTTTAATCATCCAAAATTCTACTTCACCATCCTCAACTTCTATCTCAAATAAATCATTTTCATCTCGTTTAAAACATTTAATCCATCGCAATTCAAGTAATTCATCATTATCTTCTTCTCCAATACAACCAAAGACTCAGAAAACACAAATGATATTATTAAATCCAACAGATCCAAATTACATTTTGGTAAAATCATTATTTAAAGGTCGACCACTTTCATTATCAAAAGTTCTTGGAATATTCGAATTACATATGCCAACGAAACTTGAACGACTTCATGAAGCTTATAAAAGAAAACTAAGCAAAAAAACTGGAGAAAACATCGAAAAGCTTACTCACAGAATGTTTCATGGTACGACTTCAAATTTAACTTGTTCATTTATCGACGAATGGAATAATTGTAATATAGAAAGTGCAGGAGGTCATATTGAAAGAACATTTTGTGAAAAATATTGTGGCTTGTGTGGAATTATACAACATGGAAATAAAACTAAATATACTAGAACTAAAAGTTTATTTAAGAGAAATAGTAAGTACGGTGTATAAAGAATTTTTTTTATTATTTTATTTTATTTTTTTTTTTTTTTGTTGAGCGAGAATATTGCATTTTTTAACAATCAATTTCAAACACCAGGAATGTGGTTTGCGAATGATCCGTGTACGTCACTTTATTATTGTAATAACGGATATAATGAAAATGATATAATAAAGTCTATGTTCATAGTTGATGTCATAGAAAAAACTCCAAAGGGGATTTTGGTTGTAAATAAAGACAAGGTAAGCGTGATCTGGAAAGTTATTTTTTCAATTATTTATAAAAACTAAATTATTTTCTTATATTATTTAGGCAACTTTACCAAGATTTTTAATATTATTTGAGATGTCAGGTAGTCCTTTCGGAAAATCTGTTGCTGATTATAATACATTTCTTTAATTGATCTTCCTTATTAATATTATTCTGTAAATCAATCACTATTTATATTTGTATATTTGTTCTTCATGTATATATAAATTAGTTAGAATTTCTTGTATTTTACTCGTGATGCCATTTTATACATATATTCAGTTATTTTGCTGTGCAATTTAATTAGCATATAAATTTTAGGTATTTTTTTTTTTTTCAATTCTTTTTCTATATTATTTAAATTTATTCACTTTTAAAAATCACTTTTTTATTGTTTGATCCTGAATTATTATTGCAAAGAATAATAAAGTCTTAAAGTTTTCGATTCGAAGTTAAAATGGTATGGCAATTTATTCCCTAATCTACTCTACAAAGCTCTTCAGATTTATTCTTACAAACCATAGAAAATAAGTAATATTATCTTACTAAAAAAAAATAGTTAAAATGCGCGAGTTTTTGATTCAATCAAATAAAGATACATGTAGGTGACAATTAATAAACTGAAATAGGTCGAAATTTAAAGGTCGAACTTTAGGATACGGCATTTTAAAATATATTAGAAAATTAGTTGTTATTATATAAAAGATATGTTTTCAAAACAATTTAGCTATATTGATTTGAAATATTGATTTAAAACTTCGAATATGATAACGAAAGATCTACAGATCTAATAATTTAAAGAAAATCTTATAAAAAACAGAAATTGTTCAGTAAGTTTATAAAAAATGTAAAATTAAAAAATTCCTCGAGTCTGATTTCCCTAGCAATCTTCCCATATGATAATTTGTTATATAAAAATTATTTCTAGTATTTTCTAAACAGTAATAAGTACTTTCTTTTTTTCTTTATTTCTTATTTACTTTAATTAAATATCAAATTTTTATACTATTTTTTTTTTACTTTAAACTTTTATATATAATATAAATAGTAATATTATGAGATTTTATAAGTAAATAATCATTATCCAAATTTTCTTATTATATACTTTATATTACAATTTATTAATAAGATTACCAATTTGTTATTAATAATTTATTGATTATCTATCTATTTTATAATAAAAAATAATGTTATTAAATAATATATTTTTTATTTCTTAACTTTAATTAAAAATCATATATAAAAATATATATTAAATTTATATATATTTATATTTAAAAAAAATATTAAAATATAAAAATAAAATTATTTTTAGAGTAAATTTATTCATTACAGGAAGCAATACTTCTTATACATCACCTTTATATATACCTTATCCTAACCCTAACCTAACTCTAAACTATATAATACTAACATATGTGACAAATAGGGTTTTACACATGAAAAAATTTCTAAGTCCCCAAAATATATATAAAAAATGAAAAAAAGGAGGGGGTGTGACATAGGTGACAAAAAAGAGATAATGATATCACGCCTACAATGAATAAATTTATTCTTATTTTTAAATAATTTTTATTAAAAATATTATTTTATATAAAAAAAAATACTGAAATCAATTTATATTAAGATTAATTAATTTTAATTAAAATACACTCTCTACCAAAAAGTTTAAGACCATCTATGATTTTAAATAAATCAATTTTTTTATCATTAATTTTTATTAGACTCTAATAAATAAATATGATACCTTATTTATAAATGAATATTTATCAACAGTTTATATATGCATTGCATTTTTTAAGTATTAGTTTTAACTAAATTAATTAATACTTAGAAAATCATTTTTAAGAAAAATTTATAGGAATGTAATATTTAAAACAATATTTATTCAAAGATTAAATTGTATATAACAATTTCAAAAAAAAAACTTTTTAAAAATCATAATCCTATCTATAACTATTATATAAGTAAAATTTTCATTAAAAATCCTGAAAAATTTTTAAAAAAACTTAATTACTGAGTCAATTTTCTATATTATCTATATATAAATTTTAATTAAAATATTCGTTAATATCTAATTAGAAAATCACATACTTTTAAAACTACTTTTATCTAATTTTTCATACTACTTTTATATTTTTTGGGTTTTTTTTGTGATCAGATATTATATTCAAGCTCATTTCATAAATATTCAATAGAGTTTAAATCAAGACTTTATCTAGGCTATAGTAAAAGAATTATCTTATTTTCTTCAATAAAAATTCATATTTGTCTACTTATATAAATCAATGCATTATTTTATTAAAAAATATATTTTCTATTCTCTTCTTCAAATTCTTCTAAAAATGGTATTAAATGGTAGCCAAAAATTTTTTCTATATATCTTACTATTTATCTGTCCATCAATCCTTACTAAAGGATTCAACTTATATTATGAAAAATATCACTACATCATAATTTCACCTCCACTATACTTTACCATTAGAATAAAGTAATTAATATCATATTTTTTCTTAGATACAAATTTTTCTATCATTCTAGTATAAAGTAAATCTTGATTCATCACTTCAAATAACCCTTTTCTAATCATTTATTATTTCAGAACATCTTTCTCAAAACTATTTTAATCAAAAATATCTATTTGTTTCACTTATGTAAGACCTTTAAAGATAATTATCCAAGTTCATAAAGTGCACTTCATATAGTATTTATATATATTTCCTTTCCAGTTAAATTTACAAAAATTTCTTGTATTTTTTCTGCTGATTTATACCTTTTTTACTAATAATAAGTTTTAGATGTCATTTATTCTATTCATCTAATTTTTTAGATCGCTCACTTCGAAGAGCAATAGTAAAGTATCTGTTTTACAATATTTTGATATTATATTATGGATAGCTATTTTTGAATAGCCTGTTTTTTTAAATATGATTCTTTCAGAATCTTCTGCTTAGTAAAAACTAATAATCTTTGCATATTTAAATTCTGTAAGCTATTTCTTTTTAACTATAAATAAAGAAAATATTAAGAAAAAAAGTCAAGTAACCTGAGAAAAGAAAGAAGAAAAGTATGAAGTGATCATCTGATTATTGCATTATAATAAATATTTATACCAATTTTATATGATTTTCTAATAATCTACAAATTACAGGATGGACTTAAACTTTTTAGTAGGAAATGTATATACCGTATATTCCCGAAAATAAGCATCCTGTGACATGCTCCTTTTATAGTAATTTATTTATTTATCATATAAAATTTATTATATTATTTGTCACGTATATACTAATAAATTCATATATATTATGCGATGCTTATTTTTGGAGGAATATGGTATTATATTTAGATTATAATAATATATTTATAATCAATCACCTATATAATTAAAGATAATATTACAATTAGTTACAACTGATAATAAATAAGTATTATAGAATTGCAACTAGTTGCAATATTAATAAAAATTAAATTGCAACTTTGATAAATAAGTATTATAAGATTGTAACTAATTATAGTATTATATTTATATTATAAATAATTATTTTTAAATTATTTTTATCTGAAGTATAAGTATAAGACACTTCCATTTTACTGCAAACTATACATTTATTATCTGTTCACATGTATAATATAGCTAATCAGAAACTGAAATCAGATATAATTAAAGTTGCTTGTTTAAACTCATTTTAGATTTGGCAAAATATCTAAATTATAGTTTTATTAATTTTTTACTAAAGTTTTGATATAGTTTCACATTTTTATAAACTTTGATATAGTTTTACCTTTTTCAGAATTTCACAGATTTTTTAATAAGGTTTTAACATAATTTTACTAAATTTTACCTTTTTCCATTTAGATAACTTGCAAAACCTTTAAGTTTTGTCTAACAACCTTAGATATAATATATTAAAATATGTAGAATTTGGAACTAAATATACCATTCAATTTTAAATCTGATTTTAACCAGTTTTTTGATCATTTAGTTTAATTCAGATTTATATTACGAAACTGATTTAATATTTAAAACAGATACAATTGAATATCCAAATCAATTTGATATTAATAAAAATTTATGCTTTAATTTTAAATTAAAGTATTGATCATTTTTAATCAAATTAGTAAAATTTACAAATTTTACAATATAAAAACTTATGAAGTAATTTAATTAATAATATTTTTTTTGAAAAGTATTTTTAGCACAATGAAAGTTTTTTAAATGCTAAAATGCAAATCATTTTATTTAATATATTTATTGATCAATACCTATTATTTTTTTAAGCAAAAATTTTATAAGTTATTTTTTATGTAAATTAATAAATATAAATCCAGTTGTAAAATTAATTTCAACTGGATTTGTAAAAACTGATTTGAAAATGATCAAACTGATTGCATCTATTTTAAATTTAGTTTTTAAAAATACAACTGTTTCTAAACTTTAAAAATGTGTATTTTGTTTACATAATACTTTTTTAAAGATTTATTTAACTAAGTTTTGAGATTTGTGAATAGAAAAATGATTCAGACACTCTAACAGTTCTTATTACCTAGTCATAAAAGGTGTAATATTTTTTGCATAAATGTAAAAAATAATAACAAAAAATTTTAAAATAAAATTATAAAAAAAGATAGCATTATATAAAAATTTGCATATATTTTCTTATTATTTTAAATAATATTTTGTATATTTCCAATATGACTAGAAAAAATAGCAGAAACAATAATAACAACAAGTCTAATAAGACTTGTTCTTCTTTTCTAAACAACGATTAACAATAATGACTAGCAAAAAAATAGTTCCTTGAATCTTCTCAACTATCAGAAGCTTTATCATCAAAAGATATTTCAACAAAAGATGCATCTGCTAACATAAAACTTAACTCAACTGCTCTTTCACCAAATGACAAAGGAAAAGCATCTGAAACTTCCTCATCCCCTTCTAATGATTTATAGACATTGACCAGTTTTTTAGTCTCAATAATAATAATAATAAAGCTTACAGTATTCATCTTAAGTGAAAAACAAACACTTCCATTTATTTTGCCTACTGCATTATAAAAAAATTTTTCCAATAAAAACAAATTGAGAAAAATAAAATAAGGCTTGTGACATCTTTACACTGTATTATACATCTTTTATTAGTGCTTCAATGC